ACAGGAAGGAGTAGGGGGACTTGGAGTGGCACAGCTTTTTGTAGTTTGGTGCCATGGTCAGCTAGTTGTGACTCAGCCTCTCTGAGCTAGCAGGTTTTCACCCTAGCCTTTGAATCTTGAGTTTTAAGTTATATTTATATTTATAACTAGAATAATAAGAAATTTAGCTAAGGTTACCATAAGGGCAACAACAGAGCTAGTGCCTGCAGGAACAGAATTCCCACCAGGCTGTGCCCTTAGCGGCGAGGCCACTGCCAGAGAAAGAGGCCAGTCAATAATTGCAGTAAAGAGCAGCCACTGTGCGGAAGTTAAAACAACAGCAAACTATTAAGTCAATCCAGACTCACCAGTATGACTTAGAAGCCAACAGCTAGCTAGTAAGGTGTCAGTTGGGAAACAGTTTGGGCTAAAAGGAGATGGGAGCTGAGGAATCAAGAAGGTGCTAACTGGGTTCTGTATTCCCTAAGGACTGGTGACAAGGCTCAAGGGAAGAAGGTAGAGCTCAGGGTCAGAATCCCAATGGGTCAGAATCTCAGTGGCTGGGGATTTGGGGCTTTTAGTCTCCCTTTAGTTTTCCGGAAGTAGGTGTGATCTACAGGGTAATCTCCAGGGGTCCCTCCCAGCTCAAGTGTACTGAGTTAACCTTTCTCAAGGACAAGTCTGAACCTGCCCCTATGCTTTGCAGTGTTCAGAGAGAATAAACATTTAGGCAGCTGCATTCAAAAGCCTGTAATGACTGTTGTCCATCTCTTTAGCTTCAAGTCTAGATACTTCTTTGTAAATCAAGATCTTGCCACAACATTTGTTGCTATTGTTTTTGAGACAGGTCTCACTATGTACCCCTAGCTGGCCTGGAACTCACTGTGCATGCCAGACTGGCCTCAAACCACAGGAATCTGTTAGACCCTGCCTCCTAAATCTTGGGATTAAAAGAGTGTGCCACCATACCCAGTACATTACTGCTTTTAAGTTTAGATTTATTTAGTTTAACTTTTAACCAGATTAATACATTCATATAGAAATGGGCTTGTAATCCCAGCTACTGAGGTGGAGGCAGGACTGTAAATTCAAGGACATCCTGGACAACTGTTTTATTAAAAGTAGTCTCAAAATAAAAAGATATTTTTAAAAAGGACTTGGAGGACCAGCAAGATGACTTAGCAAGTAAGGGCACCTGCCTCTGCCTCCCCAGAGCTAGGAGTAAAGGCGTGTGCCACAATGCATGGCTTCACTTCTTCTGGAAGAAGACTGAAGTTCAGTTCCCAGCACCTACAGGGTAGCTCATAACAATCCTTAATTCTAGTTCCAGGGTATATGAAGCCCTCTTATGACTTCTGCAGGCATCAGTCATACATGTGGCCCACACATATACATAAACAGGCAAAACACTCAAACATAGAAAAAAAGTAATAAATGTATCACTTTTTTAAAATTTTCATGTGACAAACAGTAGAGAAATCAACTGCTGTAGAGAATTTTGAGCACCTGGAGGTGTAAGCTAAGACTGGTTAGACTGGACCAGACAATGTCCTGTCCTCCAACTCTAAATGGCAAACACCTGACACCACATCACTCTGGGTCAGCTCTTCTGGGAGGCAGAGCATCTCTAGAGTGCTAGGGTTACAGCCATGCCATGCCACACCCAGTCTTATGTAGTACCCAGGATTCAACTCAGGGCTTTCTGCAATCAAGGCAAGCAAACACTGTCCATCAGAGCAGACCTCTAGCCCACATCCACAACATTTCTCTTCCTGTACAAGCCCCAGACTGTCTCCTCCTTCCCTACTGCAGGTCATCAGCTCCCTGAGAGCAGTTCCTGCCCAACTCACTTCAGGTTTTCTGCCTAAGGTTACACAGAGCATCTTTCGTTCAGTTTCATGATTCTCAAGAGGCTGAGTTGTACTGTGTTGCTTAGGAAACCAACCTGAGCACCAAATTCTTTAATCCTGCAACACTGGGATTCCCTGTGACAGCATCATCCCCCCAGAATAGAAGCAAAAGGCTTTCTCACCAGAAAAAGAAACACTCATCACATGTCATCCCTTTGGAAACAGAGCAGAAGGTAGAGGCCACCTAGTTTTTCCCTGGAGGCTCCCATCTCTCCCCCATATGGAGATCAGATTCTGCCCAGCCCAGGTGTCCTAGGCAGGGCTCCCTCTTTGCTCAACCCAAATCAGGCCTCAGGTTAAAAACCTGAAGACCAGTTTCTAGATCCTTGGTAACTCACTGTTGGGATTAACTATTGCCACTAAAATAGAAATTCTTAACAGTTGTCTAGTTCCACAATTACACCCTTATTTCCTCCATCCATAAAAGGACAAAAAAACTGTAAGGGCAAGGAAGACACAAGATTCCTTAAGACCACAAAATACATCAGGAGACAAAATTTGAACTCATGCCTTTCCCACATTCCTTGCCTAATGCTTTCTCATGAACTGCTCTGTGGAGGTGGCTGCTCATAGCAACAGCTCTTTGGGTGGATGTTGCCATTGCTTGCCATTCCCACACATTTCAGAATCTGGCTCATCACTCAACTTGAGACTAGGGAAACAAAGCAAGAATGGAAAGCCAAAAGCAGGCTGACCTTAGCCTGAAGGGGGAGAGTGGAAAGAGGAGACAGACAACTGGAGGACAGTCCTTAGAGGGCTTTGGTCTGCCTTCCAGGCCTCAAATCTCCTGCACTGCCCTTGTAAACCACTAGTTAGAGCAGAGTACAAGAAGAAATCAGTGCTATCCTGGCCCGAGGGGGTAGAAAGGAGCCTAACATGGATCTTCTCCCTCTTCTGGTCTCCAAAACACTGTTTTGTGGGAAGATTCAGACCCCCGGTCAGATAGACCAAAAGATAAAGAGTTAAAACCAGAAGCTAAATGAACTCCTCTAAAGTTTATACAGGACGAGAGTCAGAGGTTAGGCCTGCCTCCAGATTTCCAGTATGAGAAGCAAGCCCACAGACATTTGAAACTTATTTCAGTGACATGAAATGTCCTTAAAGTGTCTGGCATGGAGTAGGTTCTCATGATCATTGTAGTCAAATGATCTGAGCTCAAATCCTGGCCTTACTTTTTGAGTGACTGTGGGCCAAGTGCCTAAGTTCATGTACAGAATAGCACTTGCCTGCCTGCGTGTGAAGGGGGTAGCATGTCGGAGCAGAGAGTGGTACAGCTCAGATGCAGAGCATTCACCTTGTATGTGCAGAGCCCTGAGTCAAGCACCTCCAAGAAGAAAAAAAAAATGGCACTGGAGAGACAGCTTAGCATTTGTTCTTTAAGGGAAACCATGTTAGGTTCCCAACACCCACATAGTGGCTCACAACCATCCACAACTCCAGTTCCAAGCAATGTGATGCTCTCTCTAACCTCCATGGGCAATGGGCATGCATGTGGCACACACATTCACATAGGCAGAAGAATGTCTTCAAACACAGTTTTCTAAAAAAAAAAAAAATTTTTTATTTATATTTGGTTTTTGGAGACAGGGTTTTTTCTCTGTAGTTTTGGAGTGAGTCTGCCCTGAAACTTGCTCTGTAGACCAGGCTGGCCTCGAACTCACAGAGATCTGCCTGTCTCTGCCTCCTGAGTACTAGCTTAAGATTCTTAAAAAAGAAAAATACCATGTATCATGCTGGGCATTGGGACACATGGCTTATATTCGAGTATAATTTAGTTTCTAGCTGGGTGTGGTGGCACATGCTCATAATCCCAGCATTCAGGGGGCTGAGACAAGAGGGATATGTGTTTGGGGGCCAGTCTGGGCTACATAGTGAGCCCATGTCTCAAAACAACTTACTTTTCAAAGAATAAGCCAGGTAGGCTCTATCTATATCTTGAGCGGTTTGTACAATGAGGCAAACCAGGCCTCTTTCAGAGGTGAGTACAGTCACAGGCCTGCTCTGGAGAATTTGGCATTCAACTACAGCCTTCAAGGCCAAGCATACACTTGGCATTCATACCCTGCCCCCAGGGACCCTCTCTGAGCACTCATCCCAGGAGAGCCCTGGGCTGGCTTGGAGGTCCCATGTCCTTCCTCCCACCCTTCCGAATATGCTTGACACAAGGCTGGACACACAGTGGGGCCCCAAGAAGACTTATTAACCGGCTCAGTCACTGTGGGCTTCTGGTTCTGAGCCCACAAGTAGCTGGCAATTCCTCAGTTCTCCAGAACTGGATGCAAAGTGGGGGCAGGTGTAATTCATCTGTTTTGCCGGAACCAGGGCCCTGGGGGAGCTGCTGGGGCCCACCTGCTCTTTTGGCTCAGAATCTAAACCAACAGCTCCAGGGAAGGCCAGGTGCTACTATTTCCTTCCCTTCTCCCCAAGAAGGTACAAGTGAGAGAGACCCTGGGAGCCTGAAAGGAGAATGAGTCCCAGGTGAAAGGCCAACTGTGTCACTTCTGTCTCCTTTAAGGTCGTAGAATGTTTAGTACCACGATGGTGGGATGCTTAGGGAAATGACATGTTTTTAGTGTGCCCCTAATGCAGGCAGTTTTCAGCAAGTACTACCTCACCACATCTTTTTTGCCTGACTTGAACACCCTGGGGTCTTAGAGAAGAAACCTTCCCCCAGTTTATCAGAGGAGTGGGTAGAAAAACAGTTGCCTTACTATGGGGTTTGAGGAAATTGGTGACCTTGGATGCCAATGGGTAGAATTTGCGCTGCACTGTTTTTTGTTTTTTTTTTTTTTTTTTTTTTTTTTTTTTTTTTTTTTTTTTTTTTGTACTGCTTAGCCCTTGTCTCCCTCCTCCGGATTATTGAGCAGGGAAAAGTTCCAAGAGCTGTGCCTACTATTTCCAGTTCTCAGGATCTACCAACCCTCACTCACCCTTAGGAGTGAGAGGTCATGAGGTAATGAGACGTCACTTCTCTCCACTTTCAACCCCGGTTTATGGATTGATCTAGGAGGGACCCTCTTCGGCAGCCTAACTACTGGAACCTGCGCCTGTCCCTACAAACGGCCTTATGCTGAGGACCCGGTCCCTGTGGCCTGTAGCACCCACACTCACCAGCTCCATCCTCAGCGCCATGATCTTGTCCCCCAGACCGTGGCCGGTGCTGGGTGCCGCCGGGAGCAGCAGGTCCCCAGAGGTTCCCAGCTCCCAATCGCCTCGAAGCCCGCGGAGCAGCCCTTCGGGGGTCTTCCTGCCCACCTTGCCCTCCACGTCTCGCAAATCAGGCGTCTGGGACTCCACAGTCCCCTCCATGTGCCCAAGCCAAAACAGGGCTGGGCGACCAGAGGCAGTGGTTCAGTTCCCTAGGGTCCTCCCTTCTGCGCTGCGAACCAGGAGCGAAACCGGTGGGTCCCCGCCTGCGCCGTGCTGGGGGTAGGAGGAGGGCGCCGTAACGCTCAGAAAAGCCGCGCAGTCGGGTAAAGAAAGATACCGAGTGTTGCGCACATAACTTCTAGCCCTGGATGGCTAGATTTGGAACTGAAGACCTCAAAGGGAGCTAGCTCAGTGCTTTCTCCCTACGTTGACGCCAGCTATGCGCACAACAGGCAGCTAATGTTTGCTGAACAAAAAGTAGACAGCCTCAATCAGAGCTGACACGGCTGCAGAGGGTTTGGAAGTCTTTCTGCTGATAGCTGTGTCTGATACAGGAGCTAGAATATAGCTGCTCAGCTCACCGCCTAGAAATCAGACTGAGTTTGTAATAAGGAGATCAATCCCTCTGGCCAGTGGAAAAAAAAAATTAAAAAAATCGAAGGGATCCACATGGTCTTGATCTTGGGCTTACATGGGCTTATAAAAGAGGTGCTTCCTAAGCCTAAATATGGGTCATCTGAAAACCTCTCGTGAAGTTAGGGATTGCGTGTGTGTGTGTGTGTGTGTGTGTGTGTGTGTGTGTGTGTGTGTGTGTGTGTGTGTTGGGGGGCAGAGAGGGTCTCACTGTGTGGTTCTGGCTGGCCTGATTGTGTGTGTGTGTGTGTGTGTGTGTGTGTGTGTGTGTGTGTGTGTGTGTGTTGGGGGGCAGAGAGGGTCTCACTGTGTGGTTCTGGCTGGCCTGGAACTTGCTTTGTAAAGTAGGCTGGCCTTGAAACTCACAGAGATCCACCTGCCACTTCCTCAACAGTACAAGGATTAAAGTCCTATTTTCTATTTTAATTACATGTTCATGTGCACTTGAGTTGAGGGTTTGTGCCTACAGGCCACAGAAGGGTATCCACAGTTGTGAGCTGTGCAAAACATGTGCTGGGAACTGAACCCAGGCCCTCTCTAAGAACAGTATGTATTATTATTACATGCTGAGCCATCTCCAGCCCTGCAAGTCTGCATTTCTAAGATGCTACAGGGGTGGCCATACTACTAATCTGAGGACCACACTGAGTAACAACGGTATATTTCTAAGCTGTTTGGACTTAGTTCTACTTCCAGCCCACTATTACAGAAAGATTTACAATGAGAAAGTACCTTTCACACCTCTGGGCCCACTTCCCAAAGGCAATCTACTTTCAGCTTGTTGTTTTGTAGGGGTTTTTTGTGTGTGTGTGTGTGTTTGTTTGTTTGTTTTATTTACTTATTTACTATACATATGCATACACATATACATTAACTTACTACATGTATGTTTCTCTGTGTGGAAATATACACATAAGTACAGGCTCCCCCCAGAGTTCAGAAGAGGCCTTGGATCCCCTGGAGGTAGAATTACTGGCAATTGTGTTGAGAACTGAACTCAGGTCCCACTGTAAGAGCAATATGTGCTCTATAACTGCTAAGCCATCTCTCCACTCCAACCATCCATATCTTCTACCAATCATTCTAAATTTATTTATTATTATTTTGATTTTTTTATGTGCATTAGTGTTTTGCCATTGGTTTTACCACTGGAGTAACAGACAGTTGTGAGCTGCCATGTGGGTGCTCAGGAAGAGCAGTCAGTGCTCTTAATTGCTGAGCCATCTCTCCAGCCCCAGTTTTGGTTTTTCAAGACAGGGTTTCTCTGTGTAGCCCTGCCTGTCCTGGAACTAGCTCTGTAGACCAGGCTGGCCTCAAACACACAGAGATCTGCCTGACTCTGCCTTCTGAGTGCTGTGACTAAATACATGAGCCACCAATGCTCAGCTGAATGATTTTCTTTTTTTTTTTTTTTTCTTGAGGCAGGGTCTCTTGATGGCCTTGAACTCAGTGATCCATCTGCTTATGCCTCCCTAGTGCTCATATATATGGACTTGTCTCATATAGCTTCAGTTGTGTAGCTGAGGAGGACCTTGAGAATCATCCTAACTGTGGCTCCCTAGTGTTGGATTACAGGTATGCACCATCATACTTTACCCCTCCCTCAGCATTACCTGACCCATGGTTTTTGTGTTGGTTTGGATGAGAATGGCCCCCATAGGCTTATATATTTGAAATCTTGGTACACAATTAGTGGAAATATTTCGGATTAGGAGGTGCTACCTTGTTGGAGGTGGCATGTCACTGGGGGTGGGCCTGGGGATTTCAAAATACTCAAGCCATTTCCAGCTAGTTCTCTCTGCTTTGTGCCTGTAGATAGAGATGATTTCTGAGCTCTCAGCTACTGGCCCAGCAGAATGCATGCCTGCTTGCCTGTTGCCATGCCCCAATACCATGATGGTCATGGATTCTAACGGCCTGTAACAGTGAACCTCAATGTAAATGCTTTCTCTTGTAAGTTGCCTTATTCATGGTGCTTTGTCACAGCAATTGAAACGGAACTAAGTTTTTAACCAGAAATTGATAAAATATCTGCCTTTTTGAAAAATCACTCTGGACTTTTTTTTTTCAAGACAGGGTTTTTCTTGTAGCTCTGGCTGTCCTGGATTTCACTCTGTAAACCTGGCTGGTCTTGAGCTCAGACAACTGCCTGCCTCTGCCTCCCAAGAGCACCAACTATGTCCAGCCTTACTCTGGACTTTTCAAGGAGCAAGGAAGATTGGAGAAGCAAAACTCTGAGTCAAGGAGACTAGCTAGAAACAAAATACAAAACTCCAAAAAACTGGAAGTACCTGCATTGTCTTGTTAGAATTTGATCACAACAGGCACAAGCGAAAGAACTGGGCAACTGATTCATTCATTCGTTTCAAATGGTATTCAATATTGTTCAAAAAAAGCAAATGATTTCAACTATCATGACAGCGGATTTCAACTACCCTCACTGGGAAACGACAAGGGGAGTCCCAGCTATATGGCCTGACGCATTTTACCAAACAAGTGAACCTAAAAGGGATCTGAGAGCAAGTGGAGATGGCGCCAGTAGCTCTGGAATTGTGGGTCCTATGGAGAGATGCAGCAGGCAGGCACACATAGGAGGGCCTGAAGCTCAGGAGAGAAATGAGGACTGAACATGTGAGTTTGAGAATGCAGACAATATAGATTTTGGTTGGGACTGTTGGCTCCCAAATAACCACACAGAGATTTACTATTAATTATAAATTCTTGACCTATAGGCTTGTCTCACTAGCTCTTATGACTAAAATTAATCTATTTTTTAAAATTACTTTCTGCCTCATGGCTTTATTACCTTTATTCTGCCTGTATTGCTTTTTCTGCTTCCTCTATTTCTGGTTGGTGACTCCTGAGATTTGGCCCTTCTTTCCAGCGTCCTCACAGCTTTGCTCTCCTGCCTAACTTTTGGCCAGTCAGCTTTTTATTTGTTAGTTTGCTTACTTGAGACAAGGTTTCTCTGCTAACAGCTCCAGCTGTCCTGGAACTCACTTTGTAGACCAGGCTGGCCTTGAACTCACTGAAACCAACATGCCTCTGCCTCTCTAGTGCTGGGACTAAAGATGTGTGGCACGCCACCCTGCAAGTCAGCCTTTTACTAAACCAATCAGAAGGTGCCTTGGCAAAGACACATCTTCACAGTGTACAAAAAAGATTATTTCATAACAGGACAATAATAGAGATCATGAGTGGATAAGATCTCCTATGGAGAATAAACTTGAGAACAGATGAGGGCCAGAGACTAATATAAAAATGTGTGCTTGTTTGCTTTTAAATAAGAAAATTTTCATTATAAAGAATTTGAAAATCAAACAAAACAGAAAACACAAAACCAAAACTAACTTATTTTGTTTCTGAGAGCAGCTTTCACTTTATAATCTTGGCTGTCCTGGAATTCACTTTGTAGACCAAGTTGGCCTTGAACCTATGGCAATCCTCCTGCCTCAGCCTCCTGAGTGCTGGAGTGCAGAAGTGAACAACCACAGTGAGCTCTTAGCATCTTGCTATGAAAACCTGACTCAAACTGAAGACTCTTCTTCCCTCACCTCTGTAGGAGTGAAGGATGAACATCATGCCAACCTGACAAGCACTGTTACCATGTTGAAAAAATACCATCCCTCCTACAGGAGGGCGGTGGAAATTTGGAGAGCTCCAAAAAAAAAAAAAAAAAAAAAAAAAAAAAGTCATGCTGGGCATGTTGATACACTCCTTCATCTTAGAACTTAGGAGCACAGAGGCAGGTGTGTAAGGAGTCTTTCTCTGTATTGACAGCCAACTCCCAAATACAACACAGAGACTTATTATTAAAGCTGGGCCTTAGTTTAGGCTTGTTCCTAATTAGTTCTTATAACTTAAATCAACCTGTATTTTTATTTTAACTTGTTTTGTTTTTGATTCAGGATTTCTCTGTGTAATAGTCTTGGCTGTCCTGGAACTCACTCTGTAGGTAGGCCTTGAACTCACAGAGATCCGCTTGCCTTTGCCTCCTGAGTGCAAGGATTAACAGTGTTCCCCCAAAACCTGGCTTAATTTATTTTTTTTTTTAACCATAGGCAGTTTATTGGGGGAGGGGAAGGGAGTGGGAGGAGAGAAGAGAGAGGGGAAGAGAGAGACCGAGATAATCCGAGAAAAAAAGCTATCTATGTTCTTCCATGTGGCACAGTTACTTAACTCTGAACTGCCCATCCTACTTACTCTGCATCTGGCTGGCAACTCCAGCTTTCTTTCTCTCCCAGAGTCCTCTCTGTCCCCAGAAGTCTAACCTCTTCCTGGGTAGCAATTGGCCATTCAGCTCTTTATTAAACCAATCACTGTGACTCATCTTCACACAGTGTAAAGGAATATTTGGCAACACAGGTGGATTTCTGTGAGCACAAGTTCAGTCTGATCTACACAGGGAGTGTTCCAGGAGAGCCAAGGCTATGTGAAAAGACCGTGTCTCAATCTCCTGCCCCCTCTAAAAAAGGACTAATCGGGGTTGGAGATGGCTGAATGCTAAGCACACCGCTGCTCTTCCAGAGGTGCAGTTAGGCTCATAGCACTTGGATAGCCAAGCTCAGGACTTCTTTTAACTCCTGCTCCAGGGTTAT